GTGCGCCCACAGGGCCACTTTGTGCCTCTGGGGCCACCGGAACAGCCATGTGTACCCGGGGTCGCGGTTCCAGGCCCACCCGCGGACTACTCACACATACATTTATACATACATATATACATATATATATATATATCTCTCTCTCTCTCTCTATATATATATATATATATATACATCGGAGGTGAGGGGGTGAGATCGAAATGGAACGGAGAGCCCCCCTACCGGGAAATCGATTTCGGTTTCGTGTTCGTGCGTGCCGTGCGGGCGAGGCGAAGCTGCGTGGGCGAGAGAAAGTCTCCTGTGGCTGAGGCGCGGCCGGACCACATGACTCCCTTCCGGGCGGCCGGTGGCCCGCGTTGTCCCGCCGGTGTCCCGCTGGTGTCCCGTGTGGCTGAGGCGCGGCCGGACCAAATGACTCCCTTCCGGGCGGCCGGTGGCCCGCGGTGTCCCGCCGGTGTCCCGCGGTGTCCCTCGGTGTCCCGCGGTGTCCCGCGGTGTCCCGCGGTGTCCCGCGGTGCCCCGCCGGTGTCCCGCGGTGTCCCGCGAGGATGATGATGATGAGATGATGATGATGATGATGATGCTGCTGCTGATGATGATAATGATGATGATGATGATGATGATGATGATGAGATGATGATGATAGTGTCCCGACGAAGATGATGATGATGTTGATGATGATGTCGATGATGATGATAGTGTCCCGATGATGAGAATGATGATGTTCATGATGATTGAGTTGATGATGATGACGATGATGGTGTCCCGATGATGGTGATGATGATGATGATGATTCCGATGATGTTGGTGATGATGATGTTGATGGAAATGGTGTCCCGGCGATGATGATGTTGATGATGATGTTGATGATGCTTATGGTGTCCCGATGATGATGATGATGATGATGATGGTGATGCTGATGGTGTCCCGATGATGATAATAATGATAATGACGATGTTGATGATGATGTTGCTCATGATGATGATGGTGCCCCAATGATGATGATGATGATGATGATGATGATGATGTTGTTGATGATGATGATGTCGATCATGATGATGCGATGATCATGATGATGATGGTGTCCGAGGATGATGACGATGTTGATGGTAATGCTGATGATGAGAACGATGGTGATCATGATGGTGTCTCGATTATGATGATTATGATGCTGCTGATGATGATGACGATGACTGTGTCCCGATGATGATGATGTTGATGATGAGATGATGATGGTGATGATGATGATGTTGTCCCGATGATGATGCTGACGTTGATGATGATGTTGATGATGATGATGATGATGACGGTGCCCTCATGATGACGATGTTGGTGATGATGTTGAGGTTGATGATGTTCATGATGTGGATGATGATGATGATGATGATGATGATGATGATGATGATGATGATGATGATGATGATGATGATGATGATGACGTTGATTGTGAGAGCGATTGTGATATCGATAGTGAGATCGATATGGAGACCGAATGTGAGATCGATTGTGTGATGGACTGTGAGATCAATTGTGAGATCGATCGAATGAGATATATTGTGAGATCGATCGAGTGAGATCGATCGAGCGAGACCGATAGTGAGATCGATACTGAGATGAAGGCTGTGTGCCGATGATGATGAAGGCTGTGTGCCGACGATGATGATGATGATGATGATGATGATGATGATGATGATGATGTTGATGTTGCTGACTATGATGAGATGATGATGGGGATGATGATGATGGCCTGATGATGATGGCGTTGATGATGATGATGATGATGACGATGATGATGATGATGACGACAGTGTCCCGATGACGATGAAAATGATGGTGTTGGTGATGGTGATGATGATGATGATGATGATGATGATGATGATGATGATGACGTTGAATGTTAGATCGATTGTGATATCGGTAGTGAGATCGATAGTGAGACCGAATGTGAGAGCGATTGTGAGATCGATAATCAGATCAATTGTGAGACCGAGCGAATGAGATATATCGAGTGAGATCGATTGTGAGATCGATCGAGTGAGATCGATCGAGCGAGAACGATAGTGAGATGGATAGTGAGACCGATCGAGTGAGACGCTGCATCCTCCCCCCCCCGAATCTCCTTATCACCCGAAGGGTGGTCGTATAGGTATTTATATATATATATACATACATATATACAAATATAGAGACATGTGTGGGTGTGTCTGTGTATGTCTGTCTGTCTGTCTGTCTGTCTGTGTATGTATGTATGCATGCATTCTGTCTGTCTATCTGTCTGTCTGTCTGTATGTCTATGACTATGTCTGTCTGTCTGTATGTATGTGAGTATGCATGTATGTATGTACGTATGTATGTAAGTATGCATGCATGCATGTATGTGTGTATGTATGCATGCATGCATGTATGCATGTATGTATTTGTATGCTTATATATATAGATGTATATATTCAATGGCAATGACTAACTAACAATCGATGACAACTCCGCGAATCACAACGTGCAATTGTGCTACCTGTCGTAACGGTGCCGGCCGGGATGCCGCCTAGAGACACAAGCCACGGTTGCAAGCAGAACGTGTGTCCTGCGAACGTGGCCGAAATTCGGGGCGGAAATGCGGGCAGTCATTCGCCAGAGCAAGAGGGGGAGGAACAAGAGGAGGAGGAGAAAGGGGGGGGAGCGGGCGGCGTGGTTGCCTACCTTGCTTGCCCCAATGGGTGGAAACAAGCTGCGTGATGGCACTGGCCCTACCGGCCACATCCACAAGCTCAGCACTTGGCAAGCCGTGTGCACATATCCCCCGGGGCCCAAGCGGCTGGCGATATCCCACACAAACGAATCCCCACGACACCAAGTGAGGCACAGCGCTAGCTGCCCGACCTTGTGCGGTTCTGCGGTAGTGGCACTAAACGTAGATAGTGATACATATATACATATATATATATATATATATGTATGTATGTATATATATACACATATGTATGTATATGTAGATATACATATACATACATATATACATCGGAGGTTGAGGGGTGAAATCGCAGTGAAACGGAGAATCCCCACCGGGAAATCGGTTTCGGTTTCGTGTTCGTGTCGTGCATGTGTGGCCGGCTGGGCCCGGCGGTGTCCAGGGGGTCCCGGGTGCCCCGGGCGTCCCGGTATCGATGCTGAGATCGACGTGGTGCCCCGAGGTGTCCTGTGGTGTCCCAGAAAGTGAGATCGATAGTGAGATCGATCATGAGATCGACAGGTGTCCCGAGGTGTCCTGTGGTGTCCCGTTGAATGAGATCGATAGTGAGACCGATAGTGACATCGATATGGTGCCCCGAGGTGTCCCGTGGTGTTCCAAACAATGAGATCGATAATGAGATCGATAATGAGATCGACAGGTGTCCCGCCGTGTCCCGTGGTGTCCCGTTGAGTGAGACCGATAGTGAAATCGATGGTTAGATCGACAGGTGTCCCTCGGTGCCCCTTGGTGTCCTAAGGTGTCCCATTGAGTGAGATCGATAGTGAGATCGATGGTGAGATCGAGAGGTGTCCGGCGGTGTCCCGTGGTGTCTGGTTGAATGAGACTGATAGTGATATTGACAGTGAGATCGACAGGTGTCCCGTGGTGTCCCGTTGAGTGAGATCGATAGTGAGATCGATCGTGAGATCGATGTGGTGCACCGAGGTGTCCCTCGATGTCCCGTTGAGTGAGATCGATAGTGTGATCGATGTGGTGTCCCGAGGTGTCCCGTAGTGTCCCGTTGAGTGAGACCGATAGTGAGACCGATAGTGAAATCGAGAAGTGTCCCGCGGTGTCTCGTGGTGTCCCGTTGAATGAGATCGATAGTGAGATCGGTGTGGTGTCCCGAGGTGTCCCGTTGGGTGAGATCGATAGTGAGACCGATCGTGAGTCAGATGTTGGTTCCCCCCCTCTCCCCCCCCACAACCTCCTTATCACCCGAAGGGTGGTCGTATAGGTGTGTGTGTGTGTATATATATATATATATATGCACAGCCCGGATCACCTTTTTCTGCCAGAGCGGGGGTCTGGTGAGAGCGAGGGCAATTGCCAGGTGGCGTCGGGCAGCTCCGAGGCCTGGCGCCCAGCATTCAACAGAACAAGAGGCTAACACTTTGGGCGCAATGGGACAGAAAGAAGAGGAGGAGGAGAGGAGGAGGAGGACTTGAGCAAAGACGGCGATGGAACGGACCGTTCACATCTGCAGGCGGCTTGCGAGTGGGGCGTGCAAAGCTGTTTGGAAAACGAATCGATGTACAGCCCTGATCACCTTTTTCTGCCAGAGCGGGGGTCTGATGAGAGCGAGGGCAATTGCCAGGTGGCGTCGGGCAGCGTCGAAGCCCGGCGCCGAGCATTCAACAGAACAAGAGGCCATAGACCATACTGGATGCCTGGCAGCCGTCATCCCAGCTTAGTAGACCATTAGCGAGAGACGAGGCTGGACAGACGAACAGACAGGCGGCGTTCGGCGGAGCGGTGGAGCCAGAGACCAGCAGCAGCAGCAGCAATGGGGGCGGGATAGGGTTCCGCGAAGGCTGTCCACCGCTTGCCCCCAGGCCTGCCGCCCTCAAGTGTGATGTGATGCAAGCCAGACTTACTGCACAGCCCACCCCGGCCGTGGCATTTGTACAGCAAAGGCTGGGGGGGGGGGGGGAGCATGTGCACCAGCCGCGGAAACGAGTGGCCTTCCTCCATCTGGTACCGTGTTGACAGAAATCTACATTGGCGTCTTTACAAGAGGAGCGGGAGAGCAGCAGCATGCGGGGATGAGACCGCATCGTTGACGAACGAGGGTTTTCTAAAATAAAAAGCACGGCGAGGCGCTTGCACTCGAGGCCGACCCGCTTGGCGAAATGGAATGTGGCGTTGCCTGCGCGGAGCCTGGCGGCGGCGTCGCCCTGCAGACCAGGGTGGCCGTTCAGAGCGCCAGGTGAGCGATAAAAATGGCGAGAGGCCTGAGACCATGTCGAGCAGGGGGGGGGGCACATCACTCCTCGCACCACGCGAGATCTCAGCCAGCCGATCACGATGGCCCCGCACACGCGCCGAGACAGGTCGAAGGCGGGGTGGGCAGCCACGTCGATCCGCAGGACCGCGTAGTCGGACTTCCGCTCGAGCCAACTCGCAACTTTGCCAGTGCCGCTGAACAAGTCCAGGTACACCTGGTGCCTACGGGAGCCCGAGAGGGCCGCCCGCAGCGCGGCCCGCCAGTGGCGGCGCACCGCCGCGTCCGTCAGGACTTCGGCCGCACCGCCTGTGTCGCCGCCGCGCCAGCTGCGCCCTGCGCGGAGCGCGGCGCGCGAGCCCGCGGCAGCGGCGGCAGCGGCGCCCGGCCCCGCAGCAGGTCGCCCAGGCGGGCGTCGATGTCCCGCGCCACCTCGGGGCTGAGCTTCCCGACCTCCGCGAAGTACCTGACGTGCCTGGCGTACCGCTTTGTCGAGTTGTCCGACTGGTGCCTCAGCATGGCCTGGATGTCCGCGAGCTTCTCGCCCAGGACTGCGGCTCGGTACGAGGCCCCGCCGTGGCGCACCTGGTACGGGTGGCAGTCCTTGTGGCCCAGCTTGTCGAAAACCGTCCTGAACTTGGCGTTGAAGACCCTCGCGTCGAAGTCCCAGAGCGGCTTGCCGTCTGGGCGGCCTCGCTTCAGCCTGGCCAGGTCCACGCCGAGGGCCACGGACATCGAGTCTGACGGCGCGACGCCCTCGTCGCAGCCCAAGGTCTTGCTGACCTGATGGTACTCCTCTGGGAAAAGAAGCAGGCTCCACGCGGCTCGGCCGGAGCGAGGCGCGGGCGCCACCAGCGTCGCGAGCGTCATCTGCACGATTTCGCTGGGAAGCCGAACCATCGTGTCCCAGCTGGGCGCCAGGGCGATGGCGAAGTTCCGCCAGCCTCGGTGCAGGGCGACGCCCGCGGCCGCGAACAGCAGCTCCCTCGCCATGGGGGCCCGCGTCGACCCCCTCGCCAGCTTGCGGAAGCCCCGCAGCCCGGCGGCGGTCCTCTCCAGAGCCGCCGCAGTCAAACCCAGGCCCGGGTTGAAGTGCTTCAGCGCCGCGAAGGCCTTGTCCCCCTTGTGGTGATTGTAGCCCTCCCAGAACGGGAAATCCAGGTACTGGGAGAAGGTCGAGTCGATGGATGCCAGCCCGAGGATCGACAGGCCCCTCGAGCGGGCCCGGGTCAGGAAGTCCAGGTACTCCTTCTCGAAGTACACGCGGGACGCGTTGCCGACCTTCAGGCTCTGCAGCACCGTGAGCCCCTCGGCCTGGGCTCGCTCGTCTGCGCCGCGGTGGGCTGAGCGGCGAGCCTTCGCCCAGGCTAGGCGGAGAGCCTCGGCCCTCGCTGGGGGCGGTCTCGCACGGCTGGTCGATGCCACTGCCCGAGCTCGAAGATGAGGAGTCGTCGCCGACCGCGCCGCCGCTGCCCGCCCCGCCGAGGAGCCCCGCGAGGCCACCGAGCGGGTAGGGGTCGTCGTGCAGTGCGTCCCCGAGCCCGGCCGCTCCGCGCCCGAAGCCGCGGCACAGCGGCAGTGGCGCCTCCGAACGAGCGCGTCAACATCCCGGCCGAGGGCCTGGAGCCCGCTGGGGCTGGCTGACGGGCCTCCGAGATACGCAGCATGTCGGGGGTCAGCGCGAGCGTCCAACGTATGATGGAGCCTGGGCCTAGAGGGCTTGTCGGCGGGGTTCCACTCTGGCGGCGTCCATCTGAGGATGAAGGTGGTGTCGGTGACAATAGATATGGCGCGCAGCTGCTGCAGGACGTGATTGAGAGTGATGGAAGGGGGGCGCCCTTTTCCAACCGCGAGTGCGAGCCCGAGGTTGTGGACCAAGATGAGGTGCCGATGACTCTGCCCGCAGCGCCCTCGCACTGCGTGCCGTGCGGCCGGCCGCTCGCCCCTCAAGAACGGCGATGTCCTCGTCGCGCTGAAACTCGCCGTGGAAGAGGACACCCCAATCGTTGAAGTCACCGATCGAGGACCTCGCGACCCCCTCGAAGCTGGTGGAGCCAGCGCGGGCCTGGCGGCGGCCGACCTTGGTCCCCTCGACCGGGTCGAAGCCAAGCGCGCGCTCGCGGGCCCCGATGGCGTCCAGCACGGAGTATCGCCAGGCCTCAGCTGACGAGGCGGTGCGCTCCACGAGCTCATCGGCCCAGGTCTGCCCTACCACGCCATGGCCGCCTCCTGAACCAGATTGGCCCCGGGAGGCGTCCGAGGCGTAGGCGAAGGGGCTGTTGGGTCTCTTGGAGTCGGAGAAAGCGAAGACCAGCAAGGCAGCCGCCTGCCGCAGCTCGAGCTCCACGCGGCTCCACAGCCGCAGGCGGCGGTGTCCAGCGACACGGGCCAAGACGTATGCCTGTTGAAAAATGCCCAAAAGTGGCCGCCTCAAGAGTGCGGCCCAAGTGAAGTAAGTGCCCAAGTAAGCTAAAGATCTCGTCCCCCGTGGCCGAGCGGCGGTCCGCCACGAACAACGGAGCAAGCCGGATCTTCCACATCCGACCCGGACTGATGCCTACCCGCCCGCTGCGCCTCTCGAAGGTGATGCCGGTGAAGGTCTGCAGGTCCTCGGGCTCCATGGCGCCCTTGCACTTCAGGCCGACCCGCTCCAGCTCGCTGACGACCTTGGTGCAGTCGGCCACGCGGCGGTCGCCGTCGCCGCCGACGATGCAAACGTTGTCGACGTAAACGCCAGGCTGGGTCGAAGAGGTGCGGACCTGCAAGGGGGCGTGGCGGTCCATGATGAGCGGCCCGGCGTCGATCCCCGACCGCAGCACGGTTGTCTCCAGCAGCCCCTGACAAAAAATAGAGGCTCCACGACCACCCCATTGGCAGCACTTGCAAGAGAGGCGAACCGAAACGAGCGTCGGGCAGGTCAATGTTCACCCCAGCCGCCTCGGCGAGCTGTCGGAGCGAACTCAAGTGCACGCTCGGCGACGAGAAATGCTCGTCCATCTTGTCAGGCAACTTCACCCTGTAGAAGGCGTTGTCCACGTCGGCCTGAGCCATACTCAACGAAGAAGAAGGATTGGTACGTAGCGCCGCCCACGCGGCGGCACTGGGTAGCTGAGAGTGATCAGGGTCGTGAAACCGTGCGTTGACTCGTCGCTTGTCGAAGATGAGCCGAAGTCGTTCTCGCCCGCTCTTCCACGCACAAAACACGCCCACCGTGGCACTGCGCTTGGCCCCGACTCTGACAAGGCCGGAGGTGTGCAGGCCCAAGATGAACTGCGCATAGCGCCGCCTATCCGCCATAAGATTGCGATCATTGTGAAGCTTGATCTCCTTGTCAGGTGCAGGCGTTCGGCGCAACAAATGTCTCTCCCAATGCACCCACTGATCGTGCTCGAGGCCACGCAGGACGTCGCTGGGATCACAGCGCGCGCCCGGCCCCGGCAGGGAGAGGATCTCCCTCTGGTACTGGGCAGGTTGCTCGGGCTCGGTAGCGTAGCCCGGCTGGTGGCCGCACAGCTCCTGGTGGGCTGCCGCGGGTGAGCAGGGCGGTGGGCCCGCCTGCTCGACGATGGACTGCGTGAAATCCAGGCTGCGTTGCTGCCCAGCTGAAGCAGAAAAATATTCTCGGGCGCCACCATGAGCATATAGGGCATTCGGGCTCTCGGCCGCGTCGGCGACCCAGTTCGTCGCGTGCATGCGGCGGCGCACTCGTGAGCGCGCCGCCCTCGACAGCCCGGCGGGGCCGCCGTCGGCTCGCGCCGCCGCGAAGCCGCTAAGTGGCAGCAGCTCGCGGGGTGCGATCCCAGGTGGCCGCGTCATTGGCCCCGGCCGGCCCCGCGGCCGGCCGCCTGGTCCTTGCCCGCGCCCTTCTCCTGAATCTTCCTGAGCTCGGCGGCCTGCTGCTGGATCTTCTTCTGGAGCTCCGCCCTGGGCCCGGCGGCGCCGATGCCGCCGCCTCGTGAGAGCATCCTCTCCTCCTTCGCCTTGCGGCGCTCCTTGAGGATCTGAGCCTCGCGATGCATCTCCGAGTTGATGTGGTCGACCAGCGCGGCGCGACCATCGCCAGCCCACGGGTCTCACCTGTGCCGAGGTGGAGGTAGCTCTCCTCCATCAGGTCGCCACCCTGGACGGCCGCAAGGCGATCGCGATGCCGCCATTCGGCCATCTGGGCCTTCCGCATCAAGAGCTCGCAGGAGGCGAGCTCGCCCAGGTTCAGCCGATCGAAGCTGAGGCCGAGCTCCGCCATGCGCATGGCGAGGTGGTGGTCGCGGACGCCCTCGTCCGTGGCCTCCAGCCTGCACGCGTGGACCCACTTCGTGTGTCGGGCCCGAGGATGCTGGTCCTGGCGTGGATGTGGTCCTGCCGTCCTCGGGCCCATGATGGGCCACTCAGCCCACTCCGTGGTCGACGCCAGGCGGGCGGCCTCAGTGAAGTGACGATGTCGACTGCTGTCGGGCCTGGTCTTGATGTCCAGCACACGCGCGTCTGTCTCCAGCTCCGGGCCGGGCGACGAGGGGTCCGCGGCCTTCGCCGGCATGCTGTCGGCGCCGCGAGTGGCGATGCCAACCTTCCCGAAGTCCTGGTGGCGCACCGCCTGCCTGAGCTCCGTCGGGTTCTCCCCCGCCACCACGTGCCAGCTCAGCCCGTCGTTGGCGGGCAGTGGTCCCGATCCCACCAGCAGGCCTGGATAGAGCTCCTCCGCCGGGCTAGTTGCCGCTGCTGCTGCTGGAGTCGACCTCCACGAGGCCTTCCCCTTGATGCGCCTGGAGGGCTTCTCGCCGCCCTGGAGGGCCAGGCAGCCTGGCCTCACCGCCTCCAGGGCTTCGCGCACCTCGAGCGCGGTCGGCTCCCACTCGGCGCCGTATGCCGCACTCGCTGCCCTCCACCGGCGCCCAAACGCCGTCTCCGTCATCGGCGACCCGTTGTTTTTCAGAGCCACGAAGCCTGAGTCTTTGGCCCTCCGACAAGATGTGTGGGTACACGTCCAGGTCTGGAGCGAGGGCGTACCACGCGCGGCGCCCAGCGGTCTCCATCGGACTCGGCGTCACCTCCAGCTCCGCTTCGCACTCCGAGCTCTGGCACTCGCACAACAAGATCCGATCCTGCCAGGTACCGCCCACCTCCCACAAGAGGCGAACGCGACGCCCAGGTCGTAGATAGGACATGTCCGCCGAGGCAGCAGCACAGGGTCAAGCTCACGCCGGCGATAAACCCTGCCACGAGACAAAGGACGGCCAGCGATCGGACGCTCCCGAACGAGCCCACGGCTAACGCACAGTCAGAGGCCTCCTCAGCCAGCGGTCCCAGCCCTGGCCCAACCGAATCGAGTATGGCGATGGCGCCGCGCGCTGCTTTGCTCAGGAAGCCGAGGACTCCCATACAAGCTGGGATGGCGCTGCCGCCCGAAGAACTTGAGCAAGGACGGCGATGGAACGGGCCGTTCACATCTGCAGGCGGCTTGCGAGTGGGGCATGCAAAGCAGTTTGGAAAACGAATCGATATTCATACGCACCTTTCCGAGGGAGTAGAGCTCAGAGGCGATTCGTGCGTGCGCGGGGCGTTCGCGATTTTTCTGGCCGTTTCGCTAGGGACATCCTCGAAATTCTGCAAATCGGTGGCACCCCCCTCACGCAGATCGTGACGTCAGGGTCGAACAACACATGGGAAGTTCAACATTTTAAAATTACCCTGCGACGTACCCAACCCACGTGCATCAAATGGCAAGAGGAGTAGGCCAACATTAGCAGGAACAGCGATAATGTAGGCGATGTGAATTGCTGTGCAAACTACATGGGATGCGCACGCATTGCACGGCTCACAGGACGACGATCGAAATAACGAGGATTAAAGCCCCAGGCTCGCGTATGACGTCACTCCGCTGGGCCACCCAGCAGCCCTCGAAAGTGGTGACAGTTTCGCAGATCGCAGCCCCCCAAGGATGGCGAGGTCTAATCTGAATCCGAATATGTCCCCACTCCGCTGGGCCCTCCAGCAGCCCTCGAAAGTGGCGACAATTTCGCAGATCGCAGCCCTTCGGGGATGGCGAAGTCGAGCCTGGGTCTGCGTAGGACCCACTCCGCTGGCCCCCCAGCAGCCATCGAAAGTGGCGACGGCTTCGCACATCGCAGTCCCCCAGGAATGGCGAGGTCGAATCCGCCGACCCCTCGTGGGTCTCTAGGCGTGTGAGATAGTTCCCCCCCCGTACCCCCCCCGGGACCCCAAACCGGAGATTTGACCCCCCCCCCCGGCCCGGCGCGAGCGCATCACGAGGCTTCTCCGGACCCAAGAGGGCGTCAAGACAGGGCAAGAAGGCCCCAAGAGGCCTCCAAGACGGCTCACGAGGGCCCCGAGACGCCACACATGTGCTCCAAAACGCCCAAGATGGCCCCGAGATTGGCCAAGAGGCCTCCAAGACGGCCCAAGAGGTCCCAAACAAGCCTTCCAAGAGGGCCTCAAGAGGCTAAATTGTTGATTTTCCATTGTGTTTTTCGGTGTTGTTTGCCTTTTTGTCTCTCCGGCTTCCCGACGCTCCAACACGGCCCCAGAGGCCCCGAAGACAGCCACAATACAGCACAAGAGACCCCCAAGACGGCCCCAAGACGGCCCCAGATGGCCCCATGACGGCCCCAGAGGCCCCCAAGACGGCCCAAGAGGGCTCCAAAACTGCACCCAGAGAAACCCAAGAGGGCGACCAAACATTGAAAAAAACTAGCTTTCCGCCCCAAGGATCCCCAGGCGGCCCCAAGTCTGCCCCCAGAGGCCGCCAGAGGCCCCCAAGACTCCCCCCAGACGCCCCCAAAAACCCCCAAGAACCCCCCCAGAGACTCCGAAACGGCCCCCAACTGGTTTCAAAACTACATTCCAGAGGCCCCCGGGAGCCGTGCCGCGAGATCCCGATACACCTACAAGATGCCTCTAACCCATAACCCAGGACTCTGAGCTTTCTCTCTGTGTCCCCCTCGCCCCCCCCCCCTCCACCTCGGCCCCCAAGCGGCTTCAACATTGCCTTGAAGAGGCCCCCGAGAGCCGTGCCGCGATACCCCGATACACAAACAAGAAGCCTCTAACATATAACCCAGAACCCAGAGCCTCATTTCACTATCCCCCTCCTCCTCTTCCTCCTCCTCCACCTCCTCCTCGTCCCCCTCTCCTCTCCTTTCGTTTCATTCCCCACCCTCCTCCTCTCCCGATCCTCTCCGATTCTTCTCCCCCCCATCCTCCGCCCCCCCCCCCTTCTCTCCCCGCCCTCCTTCTCCTCCCCAGCACGCGCGCCCGATTGGGCATCATTTGCACGTATTGCACTTCAGGGTGCCCTTCTTTACGTCGCGCGCGACATGGGCAGGGCTCCTGGGAAACGCCGACTTCGGTAGTCTCCTCTCGCACGCGCCGCTGCACTGATACGCTCGGCCACTGCGCGCTGTGAACCCGAGTTTCTCACAGCCCCCGCACACCACTTTGAGTTGTTTCGTCTTTCGATGATGTTCCACTTGTGTTAGCTTCAAATGTTTAGTGTCCGAGAACGCTCCCGGACGTCCATTTTCCGCGCATGTTTCGGTCTCGCGCGTGGTTTTTTTGTTGCCCGATGGTCCAGGATGGTCCTCGATGGTTCTCGCCGAGAAAAAATGCACACGTCCTTATGTTGCATCCTCGGGAGACCTTGTCTGTCCCGTCGCGGCCCTCTCCGCGTCGAATCCGCGTCGAATCCATGTCGGACGCGTCGGAACCGTGTTGAATCCGTGTCGAACCCGCGTCGAATCCACGCCAGATCCGCGTCGAGTCCGCATCGAGCCCGCGTCGGGCCCCCAAAGAGACACCAATTTTTGGGACAGGCGAAGTCCCCCGAAGGTGCAACAGAAACGCCCGAGCGACGCCAAGACACGGAGGTCTGCTCTGGGCATGCCTTGCTATGCTCTGGCAGCGAAGGCGAGGGGTGGGGGGCGGAGCCACAGCAGGGAGGGGCGGCAGCGGGAGCAGCAGCAGCGGGAGCGGGGCCCCGAGGGCGGAGGGCCGACAGCAGGCAGAGCTCGCACCACTACTACTACTACTACTACTAGTACTACTAGTACTACTAGTACTACTAGTACTACTAGTACTACTGCTACTGCTACTGCTACTACTACTACTACTACTACTACTACTACTACTACTACTACTACTATTACTATTACTATTACTACATACTACATACTACATACTACATACTACATACTACATACTACTACTACTACTACTACTACTACTACTACTACTACTACTACTACTACTACTATTACTACATACTACTACATACTACTACATACGACTACATACTACTACATACTACTACTACTACTACTACTACTACTACTACTACTACCACTACTACTATTGATACTACTGATACTACTGATACTACTACTACTGCTACTGCTACTACTACTACTACTACTACTACTACTACTACTACTACTACTACTACTACTACTACTACTACTACTACTTACTACTACTACTACTACTACTACTACTACTACTACTACTACTACTACTACTACTACGACTACGACTACGACTACGACTACGACTACGACGACTACGACTACGACTACGACTACTACTACTACTACTACTACTACTACTACTACTACTACTACTACTACTACTACTACTACTACTACTACTACTACTACTACTACTACTACTACTACTACTACTACTACTACTACTACTACTACTACTACTACTACTACTACTACTACTACTACTACTACTACTACTACTACTACTACTACTACTACTACTACTACTTACTACTACTACTACTACTACTACTACTACTACTACTACTACTACTACTACTACTACTACTACTACTACTACTACTAGGCGTGTGAGATAGTTCCCCCCCTACCCCACCCCCCGGGACCCAAAACCGGAGATTTGACCCCCCCCCCGGCCCAGCGCGAGCGCACCACGAGGCTTCTCCGGACCCAAGAGGGCGTCAAGACGGGGCAAGAAGGCCCCAAGAAGCCCCCAAGACGGCTCACGAGGGCCCCGAGACGCCACACATGTGCTCCAAGACGCCCAAATTGGCCCCGAGATTGGCCAAGAGGCCTCCAAGACGGCCCAAGAGGTCCCAAACAAGCCTTCCAAGAGGGTCTCAAGAGGCTAAAAATATGGGTTATCCATTGTGTTGTTCTGTGTGTTTTGCCTTTTTGTCTCTCCGGCTTCCCGACGCTCCAACACGGCCCCAGAGGCCCCGAAGACAGCCACAAAACGGCACAAGAGACCCCCAAGACGGCCCCAAGACGGCCCCAGATGGCCCCATGACGGCCCCAGAGGCCCCCAAGACGGCCCAAGAGGGCTCCAAAACTGCACCCAAAGAAGCCCAAGAGGGCGACCAAACATGAAAAAAACTAGTTTTCCGCCCCAAGGATCCCCAGGCGGCCCCAAGTCTGCCCCCAGAGGCCGCCAGAGGCCCCCAAGATAATCCCCAGACGCCCCAAAGACCCCCCAAGAACCCCCCCAGAGGTTCCGAAACGGCCCCCAACTGGTTTCAAACCTACATCCCACAGGCCCCCCAGAGCCGTGCCGCGAGATCCCGATACACCTACAAGATGCCTCTAACCCATAACCCAGAAGTCTGAGCCTTCTCTTTGTGTCCCCCTCGCCCCCCCCCCATCCACCTCGGTCCACAGGTGGCTTCAACATTGCCTTCCAGCGGCCCCCGAGAGCCGTGCCGCGATACCCCGATACACAAACAAAAAGCCTCTAACATATAACCCAGAACCCAGAGCCTCATCTCAGTATCCCCCTCCTCTTCTTCGTCCTCCTCCTCCACCTCCTCCTCGTCCCCCTCTCCTCTCCTTTCGTTTCATTCCCCACCCTCCTCCTCTCCCGATCCTCTCCGATTCTTCTCCCCCCTATCCTCCGCCCCCCTCCCCCTTCTCTCCCCGTCCTCCTTCCCCTCCCCAACACGCGCGCCCGATTGGGCATCATTTGCATGTATTGCACTTCAGGGTGCCCTTTTTTTCGTCGCGCGCGACATGGGCAGGGCTCCTGGGAAACGCCGACTTCGGTAGTCTCCTCTCGCACGCGCCGCTGCACTGATACGCTCGGCAAC